GGAGTCTCCCGGTGGACGGTTCCACAACGAAATTGACCACATCATATTCAATCGATGGTTTTGCCTGACCGATGTTGCTGTTGTCCCAAAATTCCAAACGGGATCGGACCACCATCTCTTTCATGCAAAATTCTACTTCACAGAGCGGGGAGAAAGGGCTGCAAAGTTTAAGAAGAGAACTCCCAAAACGACCACCAACTGGGAGCTCTTTGGCACTTTTGCTGCAACATGGGAAGATGCCGTCGTTGACAACATTGATGAGGAATACGATCGACTGGTTCAGCACCTCCATGATTGTGCAAGGAATGCTGAGAGATAGCCATAAAAAAATGCCTGTCTTCGAAAACTCTTGAGCTTATTCACCAACGTGGTTTGGCGCATGCCTCAGGCAACCGCAAGCGAACGTCCGAGTTCGCAAAGCAGCGCAGAGATGTGATCAAGGAAGACCTCAAAGAGAGAAGAGCAGCAGTGCTGGTAGATGTGGCAGAAGCCGGGAAAAGCATTCGCAATGCCCGCCTGTCCTTCACCAACTACAAGACCAAGATGACTGCCCTTCGACGTCCTGATGGATCTCTCACATCTTCCAGAAGGGCAATGGAGAAGATTATCCATGACTTCTACTCAGATCTTTTTGATAGCCACATCCACCTGCCCACATACCAAATTCCACAGGATGGATATGTCATTCCCAATGTTCTCCCTTCTGAAATCCGACACGCCATTTCGTTGGTAAAGAAACGAACAGCACAGACAAGGTCAGACCTGAACACCTGAAGAACCTGCCGTCAGTGCTCATCAATACACTGGCTCGGCTCTTCACACGCTACCTGTCTGAATGCAAGTTTCCATCCCAGTGGAAAACCAACAGGACTGTACTACTGTACAAGAAGGGAGACATCCACGACATTGGCAACTATTGCTCGATCTGCCTATTTTCTGTCATCTACAAGCTGTTCACTCCAGTTATCCTGAAGAGGATTGGCAGAACACTAGATGTGCGCAAGCCGGGTTCTGCAAAGGATTCAGCACCATTGACCATATCCACACGATAACCAAGCTCATTGAGGTTTCTCGGGAGTTCAAGATGCCGCTCTGTCTAACGTTCATTGATTTAAAGAAGGCCTTTGATTCTGTTGAGATGGAAGCGGTTATTGAAGACCTAGCCAATCAGGGCATTCATACTCATTACATCAGGATCCTCCATGAGCTGTATTATGGATTCAATACCAGGATCTCACCATTCTACAAAGAAATGATCATCGATGTCAAGAGAGGGGTTCGGCAGGGTGATACCATTTCACCAAAACTCTTCAGTGCCACCCTCGAGAACGCCATGCGACAACTGGAATGGGAATGAATGGGAATGAAGATAGACGGTAGGCAACTACACCACCTCTGCTTTGCTGATGACATCATTCTAATAACACCAAACATTAGCCAAGAGGTACAAATGCTGGCTGACTTCGACTGTGAGTGTGGAAAGGTCGGACTCCAGCTGAATCTCACAAAGACAATGTTTATGAGAAATGGTATTGTTCCTGATGTTCCATTCGCTCTCAATGGAATGACCATCTCCGAATGCAACATGTGTACCTAGGTCGAGAAGTCAACATGACCAACGACCTGGCAGCTGAGTTGCGCAGGAGGAAGAGGGTGGCTTGGAGCGCCTTCAAGAGTGTTGAAGAAATAGCTAAGAGGAAGAAGAACCTCAGGCTCCGGGCACATCTCTTTGATTCCACTGTTCTTCCTGCATTAACATACGCCTCAGAGACCTGGGCCCTACGAAGACAAAATGATAACGCTATTTGGGTCTCCCAGAGAGGAATCGAAAGATCTATGCTTGGAGTATCACGTTTCACTCAAATGTGAGAAAGAATCCGGAGTTCCGACCTCTGTTGACGGTCAAGAATCAGGCACACTGTCTCATTTGCCAAGTCGTCAAAAATCAGATGGGCTGGACACGTGAAGAGATTTGGAGATGACCGCTGGACTAGGGCCGTTACCAACTGGATTCCACGGGACGTCAAAAGACTGCGTGGCCGCCCACCTACCAGATGGTCAGACTTCTTTGTCAAGACCTTGAACAATTGGTTTGAGGCTCTTCGTGTTCCTAGAATGAACAGACCATTGGGCTACACTAGCACGGGACAGGGACAAATGGCGCCCTCTCGAGCAAATCAATGATTAAGAGGAATCAAGTGATCAAGTGAAGTGATTAATTAAATTAATGATATTTTTTACAGTATAAGATGGCACCTGCCTAGTAACACACTGGGAGAAACCCTTGTTTGGACCAAACCTTCCCTTCCCCCACTCCTCACAAAAAGATAAAAAAGGAAAAAAAAACCCAAAACAAAGAAGAAAAACCAAGGCTCTGCAGTCAGAAACATAACTCAATGGGCTGATATCAAACTTAGTCCTGGAGCAATTTTCAGGAGGCTCCCTCCTGTCTACCCCAAATAAAATTTACTCTTTTAACAACTTTCAGAGGCATAATATTGTATTATCTACCTAGAGAATCTCGCCCGCACGGCAAAGCCTGGCAAGCTACCCATGATGTATTCAATATGCCAAACACAGTAACAAGTGTCACAATGGAGACGTTACTGGGCCCGCTCGAGCAAATCGATGAACAACGGGAGGACAGTGACAGTGAATATTGTATTGTTAGTTACAGTGACCAAGGTGCCGTTCATCTCCAGAACGAATTCATATTATAACTGGAAGTTTCCATCTCTTTTTACCCTTCCCCCAGCTCCTCCCTAATGTAGAAACTAATCTACCTTCTGTTTCTTTGTTCACCTGTTAGATTCTACATAGAACCATGATTATCACTATCTGTATCACTGTTATCCTGTTATTCATTGATTTGCTTGAGTGGGTGCCAGTAATGTCTCCATTGGTCCCAGCCCTGAGATTTTAGCAGCCTCTCCTTACTCGCCCTTCCCAATGGTGCTGTATTGGAGGCTCTTTCGGGGTCAGATTATACAGTTTTTTTTTTTTTTACTTAGTTTTATACATGTTGTTGCAAATGGTAAAATTTGTTTCTCTGCCGAGGTTGGGGGGGTTGGGCAGACAGAGCCGTGCTTCCGGCTCTGTAGTGCTCAGGAAACCGTATATGTGGTGCCAGGGATCAAACCAGGGTCGTCACTTGCAAGGGAAGTGCCTTAACTTCTGATTCTCCCTTCTTATGAAGAAACCATATCTTTTTTTTCTCCTTTTCTTGTTGTTTTGTGGGATCAAAAAGAGTCAGTCCTGGCAATACTCAGGGCTTACTACTGGCTGATCAGGTCACCAGATTGCATGCTGAGTATCAAAACGGGTCAGCTATGTGCAAATCAGGCACCTAAAATCCTTAGCCTATCTCCCTCACCTCAGAAACCATATATATATATTTTTTGCTTTTTGGGTTACACCCGGCACTGCACAGGGGTTACTCCTGGCTCTGCACTCAAGAGTTACTCATGGCGGTGCTCAGGGGAGCATATGGGATGCTGGGAATCGAACCCGCATCGCCGCGTGCAAGACAAATGCCCTACCGTCTGTGCTATCGCTCCAGCCTCAGAAACCATAATATTTTTTATCCATTCATCAACTGATGGGTATTTCAGTTGAGGATTAATTTTTAAGTAATGAGCCATTTCTTCTGAAGTTAGGATATAGAAAAGGGGGAAAAAAAAAAGAAGACTTAGGACTCCCATTTCCCCCTCTTATGCCTAGCTCTAGAGGAAGCTAACAGATTCTTACGGAGAGGTGCTAGTGGGAAGGAACTGATGGATCCAGCCAAGAACCCAGGAGGATCTGAGGCCTGCCAACATCATGTGAGTGACCTTGGTAGCGGGCTGACATGCCTGATCCCAACTGCAGTTTTGTGAGAGATCCTAAAGCAGAGAACACAGCGAAATAGCCCCCCTGTCCCCAGCATTTCTGAGCCACAGAAACTGGAAGGTAATAGGTGTTGTGTTTAAAAAATAAATAAATAAAACACTATTTTTGGTTTAAGCTGCTAAGTCTGGGGTCATTTGCTATCCAAACAGATATAACTAGTACCAGGATATTGCTTATTACTCAAAATCACTATATGAAGTTCCTGAAAGATCCCTTAGAAAGCGGCAATCAGTGAAATGCTGGCAATAGTCATTGGGTGTTTATCTTTTCAGGGACATAAACACACAGGTTTTCCTTTTAGTTTTGGCTGCCAGGGAGCTCAGAGCCAAAATTATGGCTTACCTTTAATAATTATGCCAACCAGCATAATGGCATGCTCGAGGTTCTTTTCTGATATTTTCTTTTATTCTGACACACCTTTTTTTTTTCTTCGTTCTGATTTTTCAGTTCATTTTACATTTTTCTATAAAAGTTTATAGAAAAATGAGCCATCTCAAGTTCAGTTTGCAAAGAAAGGCATTCACAAGCAATTTGTGAACAAAAAGTTTGTCCTTGGCATACAGGAAACTCTTGAGATGATGACAGGGACGATCAGGTAATTTAATTTGGATTGAGTCAGAAAACATCAAGTGGTACATCAGGGGTGGACGGGGGCGGGGGGGGAGGGAAGGATAGCAGGATAGCAATTAATTACGTCCCTTAGAGGGAGGGGGCAAGGGATCCCCGGCCCGCACAAGTGTTATTTTGAATTTTACTCACTGCCCCCCTGTCCTATGGGACAAGCCCCCCCACCGCGCCACTCCTCCGCCCCGCGCTTCCCCACGCCCGCAGTCCCGCTCCTCCCTTCCGGCCTCGCCCCGCCCCCTGGACCCCACCCTTCGGGAGCGCGGCCCCGCCCCGCCCCGCCCATCGGCCCCACCCCTGGGCCCCACCCTCCGCGACCGCGGCCCCGCCCCTCTCGCCCCGCCCCGCCCCGGCCCCGCCCCCGGCGGTTGCGCGCCCCGCCCCTCCGTCCGCGCTCGCGCGCGCCGTACCCGCCCCTGGGGGCGCTCTCCTTTCGGGGCGGTTGGGCCGCGCGCCTGTGGGGGCGGGGCCCGGAGGAGGCGGTCGGGCCAATGGGGCGCGGCGGCGGCGGCGGCAGTGGCGGCGGCGACGGAGGCGGTGGCGGTAGCGGCGGCGGCTGGGTCGGGCCCCGACGGGCGGCGGCGGCTGAGGTGGAGGCGGAGGGCGGCGGCGGCGGCGGCGGCGGCGGCGGCGGGGGGAAGATGGCGGCGCCCGTCCTGCTGAGAGTGTCGGTGCCGCGGTGGGAGCGGGTGGCCCGGTATGCAGTGTGCGCCGCCGGGATCCTGCTCTCCATCTACGCCTACCACGTGGAGCGGGAGAAGGAGCGGGACCCCGAGCACCGGGCCCTCTGCGACCTGGGGCCCTGGGTGAAGTGCTCCGCCGCGCTCGCCTCCAGGTAGCCCGGCGGGGGGGGGAGCGGCCGGCGGCGGCCGAGCGGGGCGGGGGCGGGGCGGGGGGCGCGCGGCGGGGGCTCTCGGGCCTGGGGGCGGCGCGGCGCGGGCCGCGCTGGGGGCCCGGGGCTGCCCCCGGGGCGGAGGTGGCGCGGCCGCCAGCGCGGCGGGGAGGGATGAGGTGGCAGAGTGCGGGCGGGAGGCCGGGGCGCGCCGGGAGCGGTCGGGCCGGCTGGGCCGGGCGGAGCGGCGGCGAGAGGGGCTCGGCGCGGGTGGGTCCGGGGGCCGCGGGCCGGGCGAGCCGGGTCCGCGCGCGCGTCGCGGGGCGCGCGGGCGCCGGAGGCTGCGGCCGGCGTGGGCTCGGGGCCGGCGCTTCCCGCTGTCTTCCTGGTGCCGGGACAGGTGTTTCCGCGTCAGGCCTCTTTGTACTCGGGAGCGCTCCGGGAGGATTGGCACTTCTGGGCTCGGTGTCATTCGCGGGCCGGCACGCGCTGGCAGCGGCTTTGGCTGGGCCCGGCTCGGAAGGAGACCCCCGCGCTGACCCGCCCCGATGGCTCGGCTTGCCCCCCTCGCGCGTGGGCTGCGGCGGGTCGAGTTTGTGCTCCCCTCGAGTGAGATTAACGAACGTGTCATGTGTTGGTGGTGCTCTTTGGTCCAGGAGGGTGACTTCTAAGCGTTGGCTAGTGTCGTGGGCTGCCATAGGCGGATTTTTTTTTTTTTTTAAAAGACACGCTTTGCCAAACTGGAGGGATTGGTATAGGATAACCGTTAATTTTAGCTTCGAGAAAATGTTGTCCTTGATTGAGCTGCTACAGTTTGTTTGCGCCATTCGCTTCACCTGGGCAGATTGCTTCGGAAGAGGAGCTCTGTTTTGAAAAGAGGCTGCAGTCGCTTTTTTTTTCTATTGAAGAGGGTTCTTTCTAAAAAAAAAGGAGCAAAATTGTCTTATGAGATGATAGGGTTCCAATTTTATTAGAGAATTCCATGTCTTGGTTTGAATTTGAGCAGATTTTTCCACTCTTCTGTTGATTTGTAAATTGCTACGTAGACTGTAGTAGAGCTTACTCTTTTATTTTGACCTACATATTGGTGAGTACACGAGCAAGTTACTATTGGAGTTTGTCTTGTTACTATTTACAAACTTTAGGCTGTCGTCTTTTCCACTTAATCATCTTCTTGGATCAAGTTCTTTATCTCAGTTGTTCATAAACTAAAATCTTGTAGCTTTTTGGTGGGAAGTACTCATTATTGGTATATTAAACCTAAAGAGTTTAAAATGGTAGATGCGTTTATAGTTAATACACCTCAGTGTGACAAAAAGTTCACATTTGTTGTTGGGTATTTTAAATTATCTTTATGCGCTTAATAATAATACCCCTGGAGAACCATGAAGAGTGTTTTATGCAAGCACTTTAATGTTATTTTCACTTTCCATTAAAAAGAACTGTTATACTTAAAAAGTACCTTGCTCCCAAAGTTAGTTTAAAGAGTTAGTAATGAAAAAAATTATTCAGCGGTACATTTGAACTATTTTAGAAAGAAGAAATAAAAATTGATGTGAAATACAGGGAAAATTATAGGTAACTTTAGATTTTTGGAAAACGTTGCAATTTGTAATAAATTTAACTACCTTTCTAGCCTCCGATATGGAAAGAGCTTTAGGATATTTAAACTATGATTTAGTTCTTAAATTGTTTTTAAATGGGAGTGTCTTTGAACCAAGTGTGGTCTTAGAAATATTTCCGGTTTTCCAGCAAAATCCAGATTTTTGTGCTGCTTTCCTGTTTCATAAGGCAGCATAATACAAAATATTAGCATGTGATAGTATGTTTTATGTGTACAAGTATATTTAAGACTAAAAAATAATAGATACATTTATAGCCAGACACAATAACAACAAAGTCTCCAATGGAGACGTTACAGGGCCCGCTGGAGCAAATTGATGATCAACGGGAGGGCCTTTACTTTTTACTTAAATGTGAATTGGTATGTTGTGACTGAACCTAATGTTTAACATGTAGCTGTATACTTAAATATTTCAAAGGAAGATAGGTAAGAAAGAACATACTCCAAGGGTTAGAGATAGTGCACAGGTTAAGGTGCTTTCCTTGCATTGCTTGACACCCCACCTCTGTTCAATCCCTGGCACTACAGATAGCTCCCCGAGCATTGTCAGGAATGAGCCCTGAGCACAGAGCCAGGGAATAAGAAGTAAGCCCTGAGCACAGCCAGTTGTGGTCGACTCTCCCCAACTCCCACAGTCTCCCTCCCTTCCCCCCGCCCTCCGAAAAAGAAAAGAACATGCTCTAATACCAAAAACAGAAAAGAATGTGCTCTAATATGATTTATTTCCTATGTATACAATAAAATTATTTTAAAAGAAATGTATTGAGTTTGGTTATCCTGTTTATAAACTACTTGGAAATCTTAAATGGCAACGTAAAAACTTGGAAATTAAAGTAAACTGACATGAAAAGAAGTTGCTCGAATGAAATAGAAATTTGTCAGAGGAAAGGCTTTAAGTAAAAGATTACTGAAGTTCAGTAATTTTCATTGGATTTAATGATTGATTGCCGTTTTAAAACCGTTGAGGAACTGGGGATGTAGCTCAGTGGTAGAGGACTTGCGCTGCATGTGTTCTGAGGTCCTGGATTCAAGCTGAAGCACTGGTGGGAAAAAAAGAGGAAAAAGAAAGTGAGTTTAGGTTTGAGAGTGTAGGATTAGGGAATTGAGGAACGTTAACACAGGAAGAGGATCCTGGAGAAAAGAAGTCCTGTACCAGAACTTGGTTCCAATCTTTAAATTGCTAAAATTCATTTATTTCTCATTTCTCAATCCTTAAGTATTCTAACTCCAAAACAATAAAGTGGAAAATAATGAGACACTCTGTGTGTGTGTGTGTGTGTGTGTGTGTGTCTGTCTGTCTGTCTTGTCTGTCTTGTCTGTCTGTCTGCTAGGTGTGGGTAAATTCCTTCAGTGTTTTGGGAGGTGGTATCTAAGGAAATTTTTACCCCTGAATTGGGAGAGTTAGTAGAGTTGCTAGTTTGTTGTTCTTCTGCCAGGTGCAGTCAGTAACAGCAACAGTAACTCACACCACTGGCTACTGTTAACTATCACTTTATTTAAAAAAGTGATATTATTTAATATTTTGGGGGGCTGGAGTGATAGCACAGCAGGTAGGGCGTTTGCCTTGCATTCGGCCAACCCGGGTTCGATTCCCAGCATCCCATATGGTACCCCGAACACTTCCAGGAGTGATTCCTGATTGCATGAGCCAGGAGTAACCCCTGTGCATTGCTGGGTGTGACCTTAAAAAAAAAAACTGTAGCACTGTCCTCGAGGGGCCCAGTAACTTCTCCATTGTGAGACTTGTTACTGTGTTTGGCATATTGAATACCTCAGGGTAGCTCGCCAGGCTTTGCTGTGTGGGTGAAATACTCTCAGTAGCTTGCCGGGCTTTTCGAGAGGGATGGAGGAATCTAACTCGTGTTGGCCTGGTGCAAGGCAAATGCCCTTCCCGCTGTGCTATCACTCCAACCCTAAAAAAAAAAAAGGCAAAAAAGAAGGGCATATTTTTCTCATGGACTATGAAGAATCAACACAAAACAAACAAAATGACACAGATAGGCTTAGTCTTGGATGATGAGAGAGATGTTTAACAAAGGGGATGGGAGAGTGTCAGTAGAAAATGGTATTAGAGTGTTGGTGATGGGTATATTGTGCTATGCACATTTTTGGAGGTGTGAAGTTATACTACTGAAACTGAAGAGTTCTCACTGTCAATGGTAAAACAAAATGTATTTTAATTAATTTCAGAAATTATAGAATCTAGGGCCCGGAGAGATAGTACAGCTAGTAAGGCATTTGCCTTGCACACTCACTTGTCAGTTCCCAGCATCCAGTATGGTCTGTGAGCCCTACCGGGAGGAATTTCTGAATACAGAGCCAGGAGTAATCCTGAGCACTGCCGAATGTGGCCCAAAAACCAAAAGGGAAAAGAAAAAGGAATTATGGAATCTTGGAATAAAAGATACTTAAATTGGATCATGTAAGCTTTTTTGCAGTGCAGTGATTGAACCTAGAACCTTACACACATAAAGCTTTACTTTTTTTTTTTTTTTACGTGGAATTGTTAGGTAATTTTTTTTTCTTTTTTTAAAATTTTATTAGTGAAACACCATGAGGTACAGTTGTAGACTTACAAAGTTTTGTGCTTGGGTTTCAATTATACAGTGATCGTGTACCCATCCCTCCACCAGTGCCCATTGTCCACCACCACAGTAGCCCTCCCACCCACCCCCATTCTCTCCCATACCCCCCCGCCCCCCGCCCCGTGGCAGGGCATTCCCTTTTGTCCTCTCTCTCCTTTTGGGTGACATAGAGCTTGACTGCTAAGTTACATCTCCCAACCCTGATTCATTTAGTTCTAAGGTGTATTTTCTTCTTACTTTTCTTCATTTTTTATAAATTAATGAAAACTCAGCTGCAAACTTGCACCAACTTGCCAGTCAGCATTAGTAACCCCTTGTCTAGTGTGCTGATCTCAGATTCAAAGATTCTTGAGGGTGGGGTGGGTGGGTTGTTCCCAGCGACTGGGACCAAACCCAGGGCTCTTGCACACAGGAACTATTTGAGCCATCTCCCTGGCCCCTGGTTTTAACATTTAAACGTCAAACACTATAAATACAAACATCTGTATACAACCAAATGTATATAATATTAAATTTTGCTTAAAAATTTTTTTTGAGAGGTAGTATCTTGGTCACACCTACAGCTGTGCTCTGGTTGTACCCCTGGGTCTGTGCTCAGGGGTCACTCGTGGCATTGCTCGGGGACTGCATGTGATGCTGCAGATCAAACCAGGGGTCACCAAGTGCAAGGTAAACATCTTACCCCTTTGCTATTTCTCTGGCCTTGAAATTTAACTTTTTTGAGTTAATAATTTTTGTTTTGTGTTTTTATATAGGGGCTGGAGCGATAGCACAGCAGTAGAGCGTTTGCCTTG